AGAGCATATAATGAATGAACAATATGAAAGAAAATAAGAATTCTAAATTAATATCTTACTTTAAATTAATATTGCTGGAGATTCCAAGTAATTCTAGTTTAAAATCAGTGATTACTAATTCATTGTTGTTAATATTTAACAAAATTTTATGTACGTCACATTTTTTACCCCATTGCTCTTGAAGAAGTTGGAGTTGTGGTTCTCCCTTTTTTTTTTTCTCTCTTATATTTCACCAAATTCACAAACTCCTTATCAGTTATGTTGTAAAGAAATTAAATCCTAGTCCGCAAACATCCTTATTTAAATTTTCCCTTAAATTTTCCTGTTGTATGTTCACATCTATGGATTGGATCTAAAAATATCAAACATATTTCTATTCAAATTATAGATATGAAATCATACATTACAGCAAAAAATTGGCTTAAATCATATTACAGGTCATCAAATCGGTGTCAATTTAGTCTGTCAAAGAGGCTGTAGGAATTTTAAATGTCCAGCAGGTGTCAGTGTTCAGTGACACAGTATCTACACTCAATCAATGGTTTGCAAGTGTGCTGAAACGCATCATGACACCTCATGAACCCATCTCTAACGGACAATATTTTCCCAAAGAACAAAAAAAACTCCAAAATAATCCTATAGTTGTTATCAGGCATTCAATGAGTTTTTGTAAAATTTTTAAGTTTCAAGCTTACCTGTTTGCAAGCAGTGTGTGGAGGGATATTAGATATCACACCAATAACAGCGCCGCTCTGCACTGTGTCACACCAACGTATCTGACATATACCCGGACAAGATGTGAGCTTTGTGCGAAATTACAGGAGACTAGAAGGGGAATTGAAGATAGCGGCCCGGTGAAGTCCGGATCTGCAAATTTTGACATTTGAGTGAAATTTCCGACAGGAAAAACAGGCCGTACAATTTGTCCTTTTTAAATTAAAGGCCACACAATGTACGGCTGTACGCATGGCTAGCTAAAAGCCTGCTGTTCAGTTTGTTTTTAGAGCCGACATGAAGTCAGAACCTCATCAGAAACCTCTGAGCTTTGATGGTGTTTTTATTTGACTTCAGTTTCCAGAACACATCAGATAAACATGAATGATTCATTTACTGACTGCTGGAGTCTGCAGGGCGGAAACTGCTTCACATAAAAACTGATAAAAAGAAAAAAAAAACAAACAAAGCAAACATGGAGGCTGATACTCAAACATTTCATCCACCTCTGACAACATTTTCAAGTTTCAGTGCCGCAGCTTCCAGTGAGGTTGCAGGGACTGAAAAACTTCGGATCTGAATGTCCCACAACTCCCAGTACCCTTTGGGTCCAACATTGTCTCCAAGTCCATAGAATTGACTAAAAGTGAGTTTCACATCTAAAAAAAAAAAAAAAATCTGCATGCTAATAGAAAAAAAAAACAAAAAAGAGGAACTACATGTGATCTTTAGCCCCGCCCACTGCAGCCTCCTGCCTACTTATGTCCTTTATTGGTCTTGAAGGACACCTGAAGGACTTTGTCTCCCAGCTGATATCCGTTTAGGCTGTGGATGGCCATGGCGGCCTCCTCGTAGTTCGCCATGGTAACGAAACCGAAGCCTTTGCACTTGTTGGTGTTGAAATCTCGGATGACTTTCACGTTGACGACGGCGCCAAAAGGCCCAAACATCTGCCACAGCATTCCCTCGTCTGCGTCCTGGCTCAGGTTATAGATAAACAGGCACCAACCAGACGATGGGCTCCCAGAGGCTCCGCCCCCGGCCCCCATGTGGTCAGCAGTCATTGGAGAAAACCTGGAAGCAAACACAAAAAAACCAAATCATCAGAATAGCTGGACCAATAAGAGGTTAGGTCGTTAAAATCAGAGCACTCCATCTCAGCAGAGTTAAAAAAGTAATCTGATTACTCACCGGAATCTCTGCGCCTGATGATGGACTGGGCCCCCGAAGCGCCGCGATTGGCCGTGGTACGTCTGTGACATCATCATGGAGTTTCGGCCCTGATTGGGGTTGGCAGCGAACTTCACCGTGATTGGCTCAGATCCACCGGGTGGGACGTGTCCGTTCAGGTGCTTCACGGCGTCCTCAGCCTCCGCTTTCTTATCATAGCGGATGAACGCCACTCCCCGAGAGAGACCTGAGCAGCCAATCAGAAGACAGCAGTTCTTTTAAAGGAGAGCCAAAACGGTGAAGCGAGTTCGATGGAAAATCTGATAGTGATCCACATAATGGTCCATTGGACTGAACAGGTTGGAGCGGATACCAGCAAACTAAAAGGCATCTCATACATATGTCTGAGCTAGTGGGTGTAAAGCAATATAATTTAGTTTGATCAGTATTTAATACAGCCGTGACAATGAATTTTAAATATAATGATGCACGATTTCTTTTAATTCAGCATATTTAAAAAAACAGTCGTTATGGAAAAATCCAGAGAAAATTCAGGTTTTTAAAAAATTGCTGTTAAGCTCCTTAGTCAATTGATAAGGTCAGTGAATGTTAGATTAATTCATTAATAACTAGTTGATAACTGAAATAATCAATAACTGGTCAGAATTTCTGAACTCTGAGTGGGAAACGTTTTAATTTGAACGCCCTGAAAGCCAGAAAGTCAACCGTACTTGATCTGATGTGCAAAACCACTGGTCACGTGACCTCACCTGACGCCTGGTCCACCAAGACCCTGGAGTTGATGATGCGTCCAAAGGAGGAGAACATGTCCTCCAGGTCTTGCTGACTCAGCGTTCTGGGGAGACCGCTGATGTACAGGTTGGCGTCTTTGATGGTGTCAGAACTCGGGCGAGCAAACGACACCTGCAGGGAGGAGAGAGGAAAAATTCAGCTTCTCTTCTCACAAAATAAAAGTTTAAAATAAAATAAAATACAGAAAATATTGAAAAAAAAAAAAAAAACAAACAAAAAAAAGTTACATTCAGTGTCCAAATAAAAGACAGGATATTTTAAATAAACAGTAAAAATAAATTTAACATTTATCAGAATTTAGAAAAAAATAACATGTATTTGTGTAGTTTTCCAAAATAAAAGCATCCATTTTTCAAACTAAAGTCTTGACGCATCGTCTCACTGAACTGGAGAAAAGAGACAGATTCAGTGCCAACGAGCATCAGAGCAGCAAACAAAATACCTCCGTTCTTCAGACGCTGCAGCTGAGAGCGCCCCCTACTGTCCAGGAAACATAACACATCTATCAGTTGAAAGAGGAAAAAATCAAAGAGCACCTGTGGCGCGTTACCTTGATAGTTTTAGACTGTAGCCTCAGGCCATTGAGGGTACTGATAGCCCTCTCTGCATCACTATGGTTAACAAAGTTAACAAAGCCGTAACCTAAACTGTGGCCTAGAGAAACACAAAGGAAAACAACAAAATAACAGCAAAACTCTCTGTTACAGCCATCACATTCTGAAAGAAACAGTGTTCAAAAACTGACAGAAGAAATAACAACCAGGTCCATAAAACAACAAAAACAAAAGAAGTTCTGAGCAAACCAAGAAAACGGGCCTCAGCGCTTAAAATCAACGATGCCAAAGAGCTAAAAGGGTTTTTCCTTTCTAAAATCCTAACAGCTGATTGTTTCAAAGGAGCTACTTTTAAAAATCTTCTCTACCCTTGCTTGGTCCAGTAAGGCTTCAGTTACTATGACAACACAGGAAGATGGTAGGAACACCCAAGACAGACATACGTCTGGCCAGTCTATGGTTACGGTGACAGGGTATCATTAAACTCATATATTTACACCATCATTAATGTTTAGTTTGATTTGTTAATGATTCTGTGGTCAATATTTTACAAAGTTATCTCATTAAAACATTTGTTATCAAACCCAAATATCTGTTTATATTAAACGCCCTTTCAGATATGCAATTACAAAACTCCTCCAAGCTAAAAATTAGCATCTTATGTTCTTGTCTTTAAAATAGGGGCCATAAATCCTGGTTCTCTGGGCCCTTTGTCCTGCATGTTTTTTTCTCCGGGTGTTCTGGGGCAGAGAAAGGTCTGGAACATGGAGGACAGCGAGGTGAAGAACTCTAATCTAAACAAATAAAATAATGTTTAAATGGTTCCTTACACCTCAAACTCCCAAAACCCTTCATTTAAAACCAGTTTGGTTCAGATAAAAATTAAAATATTGCTCCGTTTTCTCCATTTGTTCAGAACAAAAACATTTCTTTAAATATTACTGAATTTTCTTTCTTTTAACATCAGCTGAAAAAACAATGACAAAAAAACCTTTTAAAAGAAAAACAGAGGACCGGGTTCGGCCAAAGGACTCCCTGAGAACCCGTCTGAACGTCATCAAAAATATTAAAAATTACAGCTTCATCAGGTTAAAAAAAAAAAAAAAAAAAAAATCATCCAGTAATTAAAATAAATAAAATTACAGTTTAGAAATATTTCAGAAATAAATTTAGATTCAATATATGCATGAAAAAAAAAAATCACAGTCAAATAGAAAAAAGTTTTCCAAAACTAAAAACAACAAGGACAAAAAAATAAAAATCATTTGAGTAAAAAAACCCAACAAAAACTAAAAACCACAACAACTACAACCAGAGACCCAGAACCGGCCGGGTCAGAGCGGTGTCAAATGCAAAGGCTGACTGTTCCTCCTGAAGCTTTCAAATCGGGATCATCAAAGATTAATTCTGATGCGTTTTTCACAGAGAACACAGATGCCAAACTCCAGTCCACAAGGTACGACAACCTGCACCTTATAGACGTTTCTCTGCTTCAACACATCAGCGTCAAATAATCGGGTCCTAAACAGAACCCTGAAGAACCCGGCGTCACACCGAGGAGCCAATTCAGCAGTTTGATTCAGGTGTGGAAGCAGAAACACGTCTTAAAAGTTAAAGGACACCTGACCTGGAGAGTTGGAGTTTGACACTCCGACAAAAAGCCGGGTTCATTTATAAAATTAAAAAATAAAAAATCTAAAATTTTGAAATTTATATTTAACATCATTAAGATTATATTAATGAATCAGATGTTTTAATTTGATCGCAATGAAACATTTAAACATTTACCCCAAGAGTACCCCAGCCCTATGAGTACCTGCGTCGCCGTGGTTACCTGCCGATTTGTCGCGGATCAGTTTGGCCGACTCCACCTCTCCCACGCTGCTAAAGAGGCTGCGCAGCTCGTCCTGACTCATGCTCTGCGGCAGGTAGTTCACGATCAGGTTGGTCCGAGAGTCGTCGTCCTCCTCCATCATTGCTTCGGTGAAGCCGTTATCGTACAGCTCCTGATCCCGCCAAAGGTGAGAAACAGTCAGGTATCAATAACAAACAGCCAATACAAAGGCAGTCTAAAAACAAAGCATCCAATCAAAAAGCAGCATTACCTTTGCAGCTGCTCCTTTGGAGGAAGCGTCTCTGCCTTCACCCTGCGTCGGCTGGACCTCACACACCTGAACACACACAAACATACACAGGGGTTTGGTTTTATCAGGATCAGGAAGTGGTTCATGATGACCCGTACTCAGCTCATTAGTATTGGAGCTACAAACATTGTTAAAGCAAACTTTTACGCATCAAAGGATTATTTAAAATCTAGAAGCGTCTCAATGGAAGTTTAAATCACATGCAGTTCACTAAGGCAGCTGCAGAGGGCAGTATAGCCGGAGTGCACTGATTAGCAATGCAAGCAACTCAACATGTGTGTTAAACCCAATTTACACTACCCTCTGAAAACCGATCCACGCCGAGTTCGGACCGAGCTTAACTGACCTTGGTTACTTTCAACCGTTTATACACACCATACTACCAAGGCTCATCGCCTCCTAGTGACGATCTACGGTACTACACTTCTAGAGGGAAACAAGCAAATCAACATGGCTGCGCCTCTGACATTCAGGAAGTTTGGTTATATTTATGATATTTCATTGTTTGCGGAGAGTCAGGCGCAGAAGGCAGCCTTTGGTGAATTTCCTCGACAGAGTGGGCTTTTGGGAAGTGGATATGACAAACGATAGCCTAATCACGGCTTACAGACGCAGAAAAAGACGACAGACGTTGAGGTTCATCACATTGCTATGCAGAGTCATTCATGGAAATTGTATGGCGAGGTAAAAAAGCTAGTATTTTTATGAATGTTTGAAAGTTTAATATTATGGATCAACCTTTCCCATTCTTTCATACTCAGCCTCCTGGCCACTTAAAGTCCCAATAAGTATTAAAACATTAAGACTTATATTTGGAAAGGTGTTAAAGTTTTTATTAATAAAATGATTTAAACATTGAGATCATAAGAAAGAATGTCTAGTCGGGTCGACCGTTAAAATAACCGTCAGCCCTTACTTGTATATTGGTGACCCAGATGTATTCCAGGCAGAATAATGCACTGATGCGTTTCCTAAAAATATTTTGCTTATTAAACTGAACCAGACTTGTTGGCCTTCAAGAACAACGCGGTCAAAGGAGCTGAGATACGGTGGCGGACAGGTGCAAACGCGCATCTAACGTCGAAATGAGTTGCAAAAAACATGTGTGATGCATACACCAAAACACACAATCACAAAACAACAAATATAAAATAAAAAAAATAAAAAAAAAAAAAAAACTGAAAAAAAAAAAAAAAAAAGAAA